AGGGACCTTGGAGGTCTTCTGCTCAAGCAGGAGACCTTATATATTCCAAACAAATGGCTGTCTTTTAAAAAAACCTCCAGTGATGAAGCATCCACAACTTCTGGAAGCAAGCTGTTCTACTGATTAATTGTTCTCACTGTCAGGAAATTTCTCTGTGGTTCTAAGTTGCTTCTTTCCTTGATTAGTTTCCATCCGTTGCTTCTTGACCTGTCTTCTGGTGCTTTGGAAAATAAGTAATGATCTTCATAGCATCTTCCCAGCCACCAATGAAGGAATACTGTCCTCACTACTTTTATTTTATGATTTAGTTATGAAATTTTTATGCTACCCACCTCCTCTACAAGGTGACTCCGGGCAGCTTACAACACAACAATGAAGGAATTACTCTAAAACGCTGGTGTTCAACCTTTTTCGTCTCATGGAGCAGTAATGTGATAGTAACTTGTATGGTCTTATAGATCATGAAAGCAGAAGACCCGTGAGGTTACAGGTTGCTGGGATTTGGGAGGAAATGTGGAGGCTGTCTGCCCCTGGTGATGTCACAGGTTATGCCTGTGGAGCTATGCAGCACTTGTGACTCTCTGTTGTGGACTTTTCCTGGCATACAAATGTACCGCAGCACAGTGCTTAAGCACCATGGCTCTAAAAGATACTGTAAGTTGATAAAGCAGTATACACCTATGGAGGTCATTAGCTTGGGGAAAGGTCAAGTGTGAACTTAGCTCATGGGTTTTAAAGAAGGAGTGGACGTAATCAGCTAGTGCAGGGGTAGGCAACCTTGGCTCTTTTATGACTCGCGGACTTCAACTCCCAGAATTCCTGAGCCAGCATGGCTGGCTCAGGAATTCTGGGAGTTGAAGTCCGCGAGTCATAAAAGAGCCAAGGTTGCCTACCCCTGAGCTAGTGTCAAGTGCCAGGGAAATCAGGAGATTAGGGAAGTTCAAACGAGTATAAAGATCTATGGCAAGCTTAAGCTCTCTACAAAAATCTGAGCTACTAACGGTCAAGGCAAATGAGCGGGAATTAAGAAGACATTCAAGGTGGGCTGGACTCAGCTCTCTTGCGGGTCCACAGGGACTCATGACTTATGACCTGTTTGACCCCACCCTTGGACTCAGCCTGGTCATCTCCTACACTAGGGAAGAATTCTGAAGATATGATAGCATCACCCTTTTACGGGTATATTAACTTAGAATGGGATTTTCCGCATTACTACCGGGCTAGCAAGAAGCTAAACAAGGAGCCTCCAGCAAAGTGACTGGGATTAAAAACAATGTTGAAATCTGTGTTACCCTTTTGCTACTCTATAAAGATCTGGTTGTTCTCCCAAAGCCTTGGGTTGAAATGGACAGGCCCCTTCTTGGGTGTCTCTTTGTCTTTTTTCTTTATGCCTCTATATAGTGACCAGATCCCATCTTGTTTTGGCTTGTTTTTGGATTTTTTTTAATGGTAATACATTCTGAGCTGCCTAGAATCAATTGGAGTCAGGCAGCACATGAATGAATGAATGAATGAATGAATGAATGAATGAATGAATGAATGAATGAATGAATGAATGAATGGTTTGAATATTGTGGAAATGTTGAACAATAGTAAGGCTGCAGGTATAGATGGTGTAACTGGAGAAGCTGGATGGAGAAATGTTAACACTCACAAACATTGGTAGAAAAGTGCTGGTAATAAGATAAGATAAGATAAGATAAGATAAGATAAGATAAGATAGATAAGATAAGATAAGATAAGATAAGATAACCTTTGTTGTCATTTTTATACTGTGGGCACAATGGCACACATCATGTTGAAAGAAGTGAGATGGCTAGTATCTAAAAGCATGCTTCTGCCCACCTTATTATAGGAAGGACAGACGTAGGAAAATCAGCAGAAATATAAAAGTTAAATGCAGTAGGAATCAGTTATTTAAGAAATACATTTAGTAAAGGAAGAAGAATAAGAGTAAGGTCCAAAAAAATGTTATTCGTTAGTTTCACTTGTTTGGGGTGCAGATCTTGTCATTATATAGCCAATTTGTCCTGGAGATCATTTTTGAATATCCACAAAGGTTCCCATGTATGAGGTATTTGAGAGTTGAAGCAGATTTTTAAACTGTGATTTAAAAGATCTCAATATTATAAAGTGACAAAAACTTAGCATGTTCATAATTTGAATCTGACTCTGAACGGTCAAGTTTATGTTGGTTTTTTTCCGTCCATAAAAGTAAAGCAGAAAGACATGATGATGGACCTTAAATTAAGTGCTAGATTTCAATTTTCAAAGTTTTAGGATAGATGCTTTTTTTTAATTAGCTTTGTTTATCAAACTGACCTCTTTGATTTTTTTTATTTCTACAATAACAATTTGAAAGAATTTGTACCCCTTCCTCATTACATCTTTCCATTTATTCTTGCTAATTAGAGATTTTTAAGAAGAGATTGTCTGCAAAGGACTCCTGCTTGAGCAGGGGGTTGGACTAGAAGACCTCCAAAGTCCCTTCCAACTCTGTTATTCTGTTATTTATTCTGAATAAGGAGAGGAATAACAAATGGGCACCGAGGCTATGTTTTTAACTAGGTTTTCTTTTTCTTCTCTCGTTCCATTAATTTCACTGGCTTGTGCCTCCTTATTCCTCTTCTGTACTCTTCACAATGTAGCTTATGCCAAAAGGGAAAAGTGTAGTTATGAACATAGAAAGGAATTACAGTTTACTGAAGTGCTAATACTGGATTATCTGCCATTACTCCTCAGTAAATGCTAGTGCGGTCTTAGATATTTATAAAGCCCTCTACAGACTTTGTGAGAAATCTATAGAAAAAAAACACTGAATACCACATAAGTAATTTAATTCTTCCATGCATTGTATTTTAATGTGTTTTTCCCCCATATCTCTGCCAAGATTCTGCTTAATTATATAATGTTAGCGACACAGAGTAGCTTGGCTTATAAAGCAGAATAAAGCTCTAGAGATGGGATACTGGGCTCCAAGTCGGACAGACGTTTTAAGGTTCAGCTCTTCGCAGAAATGAGGCAGAACTTAATGGGATTAGTCTGAATTTAAAAAATACTTGAGGGCTTTCTAATGAAGAGGATTTTTTTATAACCAACAGTTGCCTTATTTGCTCTGTCTTATTTCTGATTACCTTCCTACCTTTTCATTTGTTGTAAAGAACCTGGGATGGCTTTGTGTGTGTAAACTACTACAAGTAGCATTCTGTTCAGATAGTGCTGGCAAAGGTGGGTGGTACTACGGCAGATGTCCTGGCTTTATCTTGTCCTGTCTTGTTGGAGAATATCTGACATGGAGACCTCCTCTGCATGCACTGGATCCCTTCCTGCTTTAAGAGCGTGCTTTCAAAAACTTCTCAACCTCCAAAAATGAATGGAAACAAAAAGCAAAGAATCAACAGTGTGGGAGAGCCTGGAGGTGGAGTCAAGAGAGGAACCAGCCTAGAGTCATTACGTTCCCACAAGCGGTCCAAGTCCAGCCCCTCTTGAGTTCTGTTGATTCTTATCGAGCACCAATTTAGTGCTGATCACTAGTTGACTCAGTTGTTGTGTGTAGGCATGAAGAATAAATCAGCTTAACTCAGTGTTGGGATTCAAATACCTGAACAACTGGTTCTCTTATTTGATGCAGGCCTGGGCCTCCAATGCCTAGAACGGACTTCAAAAAGTGGCATCACGCACTTCCAGTGGACCGTTCTAGGCCTGGAAGGCCTCCTCCAGGCCTCTGATGCCTGGAACGGACTTCCGGAAGTGGCATCCACATACTTCCGGTGGGCCGTTCCAGGGAGACCTCCTCCAGATCTCGGATGCCTCCCAGGCCTCCAAGGTCTAGAACGGACTTCCGGAAGTGGCATCCATGCACTTCCAGTGGGCTGTTCTAGGCCTAGGAGGCCTCCTCCAGGCCTCCGAGGCCTAGACTGGATTTCCGGAAGCCAGACAGTTCTCCGAATTCAGTAAATTTAGCTACCGGTTCTCCCAAACCGGTGCAAACCGGCTGACTCCCACCATTGGGATTCCCACATTAAAGTTGATCATCCTTCAAAATGTCCCAGAACCATTTCATACCTAAAATTTTGATTGGGTTGATTGTTGATTCTTAGTGACCACCGAGATATGAGTTTATTTAGGAAGATCTGTCCTTGGTCTGATCCTTCAGCATTTCCAAGGCTCCATATGTCCCCACTCTAATTAAGTCCACCTACTTTGCTACTAGTCTTTCTCTTCTCTTCCTTTCCACAATTTAGCCTAATACGGGTTATACTGACAAGAGTAATGAATATGTTTCAAAATATTTTTATCTATCTAGGAAAAAACTTGTGTCTCCCGCAGGATGTCAATACAAGCACAAATAATCTCTTGCTTAGCATTGTAATCGTAGCTGATAAAATTCAACCATTGGAGAATGTTCTTGCAGGTTACACGTTATATTAACACACTGCTAAACCTTGTATTTTTTTTTTTACATTTCATAATTAAATGGGATTGGATTTTATTACAGTTTTATCTTGGACGTGGGGGCAGGTTTTCCATTTATCACCTACGCAGTGTAAAACAATTATTTGGTTCCTCATATTTCCTCATTTTTGATATGTGTCTTGAATTGATAAATGCACTTTTTTAAGTGAATATTTTATTCTTTTATTTGTAGAGTTTAATGCATTAGCACAAGCTGAAAATACATTCCGAGAACTCATAGTTATTCATTTTATGTAGAGGATGGGAATTAATAATAGAAAGCAGCTTATTAATTTGTTAGTGCTCTTCGAGGGATATATTTTTAAGAAAGCAATATTCTGCACCTTGCAATTTCTTTTAATCTTTAACCAGCTCCTGCACTGTTTTGAATTATTTTCTGTGTGCTAAGAATGCTTAAGTGAAAGAAAATAACCTGAATAAAATTGAGTGTTGTAAAACCTACTGTGTTGCCAATTGAAAAAAAAATGTCAATTCCAGTAATTGACAGTATCTGGATAAATGCTATAAGGATCGTCAATCCATAGACCTGAATGGTCAATTTCCTCTCCCCATACAGATCTTAATCTAATGGGTTGGATCCAAAGATTCCCTTCTTTCAATGGAGGAAGATTTCCTCTGACAAAGGAAGAGAATGAAGGTAATAACGCTAAATTAATATAATAAAGGTAACTGTCATGGCTCCAGGTATACAGATAGTCCTTGACTTAACAACAGTTCATTTAGTGACCGTTCAGAGTTACAACGGCACTGGAAAAAAAGTGACCTATGACCATCTTTCAGACTTAAAACCATCACACACTTACCAACCACGCTTGCAGCATCCCCCCATCATCACGCGATCAAAATCTGGATGCTAGGCAGCTGACTCGTATTTACGACGGTTGCAATGTCCCCGGGTCACATGATCCGCTTTCACAACTTTCCGATAAGCAAAGTCAACGGGGGAAGCCAGATTCACGTAACAACCGTGTGGCTAACTTAACAAGTATAGTGGTTCACTTGACAACTGTGGCCAGAAAGGTCCTAAAGCGGGGCAAAACTCACTTAACAACCGTCTCACTTAGCAACAGAAAATTTGGTCGTAAGTTGAGGACTACCTGTATTCGTGTTTTTTTTAGCTGAGTTAGTGCCTGCTTAGAAGACTGTTTTGATTCTGCTGCTTTCGGTCTGTTTCACTGAAGTTCTAAAATTCAGCAATGGAAAACGAGCATGTCTTTCCCGACCCCCTTATTTTATTGGGAGTGCAAGCCAAGTTTTAATTTGTCCCTTTATTTCGTTCGAGGCCTTTTCTAAGCTTAGCTTTTTATCCAGTGAGCTTTGCTTCCCCGATCTTCTTAAAATTGTTTTGCTAAGGGATGTATGTTTCCAAAGAAAATATGCTTTTTTTTTTGCCACTGCCGCTGCTGAGCCTATAAAAAGCCGAAGGCATCGTCCCCCAATTCATCTGCCAATGACAGCGTCTTCTCCATTATACTGTCGAATTTAATTGGTGTCCTCTGGCGTTAAAATAAATGTCTTGTCACGATTCATAGAGCTGCAGCCTGTGCTTGTGTGGAATTTTTTTTTAACCACGATCTAGACATTTTTAATTTCCGATTGGGGGGGGGGGGACAAGAAAAACCTGAAAAAACCAAGAATGCAACCATTTGGAACACAGCCTTCAATTTTCAATCCCTGCCTAAATGAGTCTTTGTTTTGCACGAAACACGTTTTGCTTGGAGAACATCTGGAAGCTTCAGCTGGTGCAGAATGCAACTACACAAACAATGGTGTATGTCCCTAGGAAAATATCCGTTACACCTGTAAGGGAGCTGCATTGTGGCCAGTTTCCTTCCAGATGCAACTCAAGATGCTGCTTTTGATCTTGAAAGCCCTACATGGCATAGAACCAGGTTATCTGAAGGATGTCTATGGATATTCCAAGTCCTCCAGGTCATGGTTGTCCCAAAGGTACTTTTTCATGAGGCAACTGGACTTCCTTGTTTTTTCCTTGAAGACGTTTCGCTTCTCATCCAAGAAGCTTCTTCAGCTCTGACTGGATGGTGGGCCGTGGAAAGATTTATACTCCTTGCAGACAGCTGGTCATTTGCCTTCTTTTAGAGCAGAGATCTTCAAATGTGGCCCTTTTATGACTTGTGGACTTCAACTCCCAGAATTCCTCAGCCAGGCCATTTTCTTTAAAACCATACCTTATAGAAGCTGTGTTTTGTTAGAGGTGTGATTCAGAAATAATTTATATGTGAAATTGATCAAATTCAACAGGTTGGACGTCTCTGTTACAGAGAAATAAGAAAAGCTTCAAGATCTCGGCCTAAATGTAATCCAGGAAAGCATCACTCTCTCCTTTGAGATAGCTTTTTGAAGTCCCATGACTTCTCTGAGGCAGAATCAGGAGGACCACACCAGGATCTTAATACATAAATTGTTGATGAAATTTCAGATATTTTGAAGTTTGATTGAGGGGTCCTTGGTGCTCTCTGAGCCTCCTTGTTTCCTTGCAGATGTTTCATTACCAAACTAGGTAACATCATCAGTGCTAGCTAAGACATGATCTGGTATTAATTTGATGATGTATTTTCCCCAGAAACTAGGACTAGAAATAACAGGTATATTCAGCATCTGTCTAAATTTCATTTAAATGTAACGGGGGGGGGGGGAATCTAGAAGTGAGGGGTCTTTGTTGCTTTCTAAGTTTTGTTGTTTTGTTGCAGACTTTTCATTACACAAACTAGGTAACATCATCGGTGCTCCTGATGTGTATAACATGTACAACAGTGAAACAATCTGCCTATGGAAGTTGTAGGCTTCCTATGTCTGACAGTTTTTAGGGTGACGCTGGATAGTTGTCTCTCAGATTGTTTTAATTTTATAAATACCCTATGGCCGTGGTGGCGAACCTATGGCACAGGTGTCAGAGGCGGCACTCAGAGCCCTCTCTGTGGGCACGTGCGCCATCACCCCAGTCCTAGGCCTTCAGCTGGGTTTTATAAAACCTTTTCACTTTAGGCCTCCACCGCCATGTGCAAAAAAAAAAAAAAAGCTTCAATCAATCAGTCAATTTCAACTTCTCATGGGAAAAAAAAGATCTCGCAAAGTTGGAATTGATTGATTGAACTTTTTAGTCCCACCCAGTCTGCCGTTACCACCGCAGCCACACCCCCAATGGGCCACACCCACCCAATGGGCCACACCCACCCAATGGGCCACACCCAGCCAGCACCCAACGATACATAAGTGAGTTTTGGGTTGCAGTTTGGGCACTCAGTCTCTAAAAGGTTCGCCATCACTGCCCTATGGAATCAGCTGAGAGAAATCTGCAAAAGAGATGGTATAATTGTTAGCTCTGATTTAAAAAAAAGAGAGAGAAGCTAATTGACTTTGTACCAGCATCAGATTTCATCACTTAAAAGCTTCTTCTTACTCAGAGTGATTTAATAATAATAATAACAACAACAAAACAACAACAACAACAACAACAACAACAACAACAATAATAATAATAATAATAATAATAATAATAATAATAATAATAATAATAATAATAGTAATAATAAAGTTGGAAGGGACCTTGGAGGTCATCTAGTCCAACCCCCTGCTCAGGCAGGAAACCCTATACCATTTCAGACAAATGGCTGTCCAGTCTCTTCTTAAAAACTTCCAGTGTTGGAGCATTCACCGCTTCTGGAGGCAGGTTGTTCCACTGATTCATTGTTCTAACTGTCAGGAAGTTTCTCCTTAGTTCTAGGTTGCTTCTCTCCTTGATTAGTTTCCATCCATTGCTGAATTTGTACTTGGTACTTTAAAAAAAAAAATCTTAATAGACGACAGGCATGGTTGCTAAAGAGAGCCAGGAAGAAAAAAAGAGAGAGAGATTTCCAGTTGAATGATAGGCAGGAGACCATTTATTAACTCCAGTTCCTTCGTTGTAGAGATTTACACAGAGGAAGATTCAGGTGGGTTGTTTTTTTTTTTGGTGCACCTCTATTTCTGAACGCATAGACCGTTTCAGGGCCCCAAAAGTGCCAGCTTGAATGTTAAGAATTCTGTTTGTCCTTAGTTGTCCTGAATATCTGAAGCTGTTACTGCTTGTTGACTTCACCCTATATGATTTTCGTTTTCTGCTAGCAGAGATTAGCGGAACGTAAAGCCCATTTGTTTAAGAAACGGTCCCCGTTTTGACGGCATGCAGCTCAATTTTCTTGCTATAAAGATTTTCTGAAACGAGAGGTCAGTTCTCTCATTTCCATCCAGATGAAAATATTGATGGTCTGATTTGAGGGGCTAGAATGCTACAAGGCCTTCTGAACTTGGTGCGTGTGGATAGAATGTTTGGGGCCAGTGAACACATTTAGAATTGTGAGAAGTGCTGTGCCAATTTACTAATAATGATGATGTTGCCCCATTTGGTCATTTCCGATTCTTGGTGATTCTATGAGCCAGGTTTATCTGTGACCTCAAGGTCCCCTGAGTGGTGCAAATGGGGGTGGAGCCTTTTTGGCTGCAGGCCACTCTTTTGAAGACAGAAAAATCCACATTTTGGACAGAGAGGACCACTGAGTGATGGGGTTTCTTTACTGGAGGTGTTTAAACACAATATGGGTTGACATCCATGGAGGAGGTGGAAGAAATGGATTCCTTCGGGGGAAAAGGGCAGGATTAGAAGATCTAACGCAGTGATGGTGAACCTTTTAGAGACCGAGTGCCCAAAAACTGGCCCTGCCCCTGCCCCTGCCCCACCCCCTGCCCCGTCCCCGCTCTGCCCCACCCTGCCTACCTGCAGGGCCATTCACCACCTCCAGGGCCCGCCACACATCGCCCAGGCAGCCCAGCAGCGCCATGGCGGCCACGCCCTCTGTCCGCGCCCCGCAGCATCAACTGTGCGTGTTGGGGCGTGAGGGCAGAGTCTTGTCTACGCTGCCTGGCTGCCATGTCCTTGGCTGCGCTGCTCCGCGTGGGCCACGCTCGCGGGCAACTCTCCTCCAGGGGGGCTGCTGGTGAGGAGGGGTCATGGGAGGAGGCGAGGCTGGGGCAACGGCACGTGTGCCCACAGAGAGGGCTCCGAGTGCCGCCTCTGGCACCCGTGCCACAGGTTCGCCACCACTGATCTAACGTCTCCCTTCCAACTCTTACAATAGATAAATCTACAATAGTCTACCTTCCCTTTTATTTCTCCTCCTCCTCCATTGTTCCAACAAAGCCATGAGTTGTAATGAGAGTCATCCTGAGCGAGTCGGTGGCTCTATAAGTTTTCTAAATAAATAAATAAAGCTACCATTTTAATTAATTCGGAATGGCCATTAGTACCCATTTCTGTCCCAAAAGAATTTGTTGGCCAATAAGGGTGATGTTCAAATGTTTGCTTTAGTTCTTTTTTCCCCAATTACTAGTAGACTGTTATTTTAAGTATAATGGCAAGTGTAGCATTTTAAGGGTTTAGGAGCCGTGAGAAGTAATACCTTTGAGGGTTTTCTGTTTTCTTTTTTAATTATTCTAAGGCATCTCTAAAAACATAGGCAAATTGAAGAAATTGCTAGTTTCTTTTCTCTTTTGTTGATTGCGATATAATTGACTAGGTCTAGGGTGATAACCAATCCCCAGAAGAGAGACTAAGTTTAAATATAACATAGCCTTCAACTC